GGGGCTCTATAATCCACTTTCCCTACAAGCCTCGAGGAACTGAAGCAGAAAAACATTCAGTCAATGAATGCTGAATGTTTCCTTATAAGGAAACGTCCGTTAATATTAATATTATTGTTATTTTGAACACTTCGAAAAATATGCAATTTTTATTGCAACATTTACATTTAATTATCAGTACATTAAATTAATTTTTAAAGATTAATCTCAGTCTTGATTAAACTTTTGACTTCCAGGAATAAGTTTGCTTTTTTCAGCAAGTTGTCATTTTATTTTAATATATTTATTTATATATTACATTTATTTTCTATTTTGTTGCATATATTACCCTTTTTTTACTGTGTATAATACGATAATTTTTAACGTAAAATTAAAGACAAAAATGCGTGCCGTATTATACACAAATACACTTTTTCGCAAAATTTTTACTCAGCTTAAAAAATTTCTATTTGAAACAGCAAGATTGAAAATACACTCAAATGACACAATAGATAATAAAACATAACAGGCAGGTATTGATAACAATTGTTTACAAAAGATATTTAATATGTCGGCAATATTTGTTCTTTGTGTATCTGTATAATTGAACGACTTTTGTCTGAAAGACAGGAAATTTACCAAAAAAAGGAATACGCAAGATCTGACATATTTTGATAACATTAAGGTTACAACAAAGTACCTTCTCCCGAAAATAAGTTTTGAAACGGAAAGTAAAAGAAACACGGAATTGTTAAACATCCGGGTATATTTCTATTTTTAATATCATTAAATAAATAAATATTTCAGGTAAATATATTTACGATATTGCGATTTTAATGGATAATATGGTACAACTTTTCAAAAAGAATTATATGGGGATGGATGTACTACGTTGTCGTATTATACTCAAGAATGTAATTTATTGCCTGTTTTTAGCTTCAGAAGCACGAAGTCGTCGATTTATATGAAAATAAAACCTTCTTAATACGCAATGAAGATTTTCTATTTTTATTATCACCTGGCATATGAGTTACAACGCTAAAAATATACTTGAGACTGAACAGGTGAATAGCTAAATATACAATGTTGGAGCACCCTATATGCACCAGTCTCTGGACATCATTTATTTGCTTATTTTTCCTGGATTAGTCCATCTTGTACGACAGTAATGGGAAGGAACAGAAGTTCAGCGCTTCACGCATGCGCTGCCTCCGATGTATCCTGAACATCTTTTGGCAAGATAATGTCCCTAAAATCACCTTCCTCGAAAGGACTGAGGTTCATTTTAAAATAAATACGCTTACGTTGACTCGGACACATCGTGTGAATGGTCGACAGTCGAATGCTTAGGGACCGCCTCAGTGAATACTCCTTGTAAGCAAACCTCAACTACGCTATAAAGATGTCTATAAAAGAGACCTGGGGATCCAAAGTGTCAACTCAGATATGTAGGAATCAGTAGACTTCGAACAAAAATCCTGGAGTAAGGATTTTTGCAGAATGGACTCGCTCGAAATGACATTTGCCCAAAAGTCAGAGATGAAAGGGCAAAGAAGAAGGAAATCTCATTGATTGACAGATAGACGAGCATCAAACTCTGTCTGCATAAAGTCTAGAAGAGACTACCATTCTTGAATAGGACTATAAAAACACGAGGGACTTTATTCAGGTCTCGAGACAGATAGATGCCAAATAAGCGAAGTTCGTTGTTCAAAGGCATGTCTATTAATTATCCATTATAAACATCAGCTTTTGTGGGGATAAAATAAAAACACGAAATAAGATAAAAATACAAAATTAAATAAAAGTACAAAATAAAATAAACATAAAAATCTCCCAGGAGTCCTCTGGCAGGAAAGACAATTTACGCATGTGCAAAAAAAGAGAGATTTCCTGGCACCGAAAATAAACTAGAAGAATCTCTCTCTTTCTCTGTTGGACCTTGACTGGTGAACATGTGCCAACTGTTCGGGAAGGAAATTCCCCAACAAGATGTTGTTGGAATCCAAAAGAAAAAAAAGGAAAATAAAATCAATGTCCTAAACTGTCCCTCTAGTGTCTCCGTATCCTTCCGCCTTTTTCTTTGTCTATTTATTTCAGCGACGAAGGCAATTCAACAAGTCTTGGATGTTTAGGTGAAAGAATCAACCCAGCAGTTTCTCTTAAAAACGGAAAGTCGTCCCGTAGTCATAAGGTAATAGTTTCTTTTCTTGTACTTCTTGCCTATGGAATTACCTTCCGATTTCTTGCTTCTTTGTCAACTACAGTCTTTAAAATTTTAAATGCAACATCAATCGGCATCTTCTGTATCCTGTTCCTTTATCTTTTTCTTCGCTTCTTCTCACTAAATTATTCCCATTCGCTTTCACTTCGCGTAACCAGCTACGCCCTAGTGACATTATCGCTTTGCTTGGGGTGAAATTAATAAAAAATGAAATATGTATAAACTTTTTATATTATTTACAAACTTTAGCCGGAGACACAGCAAGCATTGAATTTAAAAGACTTATTTAGGAAACAT